ATATATATGTGTATATATGTATATATATATATATGTATGTATGTATGTATGTATAGTTTCATGCCACGCAGAATTTCCCAACGGATCCGAGAGTCGATCCGCGATAAGCATCTTCTCTTTCACGAGAGACGTTTCGCGTCTCCTCTCGGCCGAAAATTATTCGAACGACCCCGAATAATACCGGTTCCGTCGTTTCCAAACCCTCTCGAGGAGAGACGCTCTCTCACCGGCCTCGTCGCGCTCCACGAGACAGTTCCCTTGCTGCTGTTCCCTCTCGCCCCCTCCTGCGTTATCAATTACGCGTTATTAATTTTCGTACGTGACACGCGCCCGAGACGGGCCGGAAACGATTTCTCCACACTCCTCCTTTCCTTCCCCGAGGAGAGGAAGCGTTACATTATTTATACAAACCGGTCAACAATTATATCGAACGGCTAGGTTTCGATACTCGAATAAAATTGTTACGTTGAGCGTTCGTGCACGCACGGCAGTCTTCTGTCCAGGGAAGCGACACGACTCCTCTCCTCGTATCTTAATCGTCCCTCGTTACTTCGCGTTTCTAGACCGGCAACCACCCGTGGGAATGCGTCGTCCAACGCTCAGCGTGGAAATTTTCCAACACCTTCCTTCCATCACCCTCCTCGATTTCTCTTCTCGCGAGCTAATGGCGTATCGTATCGAGCGCGGCCACGATCCGCGGAGGGAGGAAGTGGAAGGCTCTTCTGAGCGATCTCTAAATCATCGACGCCCTAAAAATATTCCGCTCGTGCGCGGAGGGAATCGCGGATAAAATCTGATCGTACGTTGTTGAGAAATCGACGGGACATGTGAAGCATCGTTGACGCTCTGTATGTATACATCATATTCCCCTCGTGGGGAAAATTCAACCCCTTGGCTGAATACGAAACAGGGGGGGAGGGATAACGAAAACGGTGGAGATCGGGTTCCAGCGATAATCGAAATCGCTTCGAAACCGAAGCGAGAGCACGATATGACTGCTCTGATTTCCTTTCCCTTTCCTTCGAGATTCCTTATTCTCTCGAAAACTTTCGACGATCGTGACGCGATTGATTCGTTCCGTGCTTCAATCGAAATCAATTCGTTAAAACGAATTGGAATTGGATACGAATCATAGAGGAAAAAGTAACGCGATAGAGGAAATATTCGTAAAAATCGTCCAAGTTTATCGAGCAGTGTTATGTACGAAGTGTTATATAAGACTGTCGCAAGCTTTCGACTACTATCTTAACGTATGTCTATAACGATATAAAAATTTTTCAGCTTATATACATATATATATATATTTAATGTTTAAAATTAATCATCAAGAAATCTATTATCTCGATTATTCTAATTATTCTAATTAATAATTTTAAATATTACGTGTTATAATTAGTCTTCTCGACGAGAATTCCAATTTCCAAGGAATGGAGAAAGATCGAGGGTGAGCAGCAACGAAGAGGAAAGGGATCGGTTCGCGATTCTAACGAGACACGCGGTGAAGATCGCCGTGCGAAGAAATTTCTCCGGTTAATTAATCGGGCGGGCAGAAACGTCGTGGTGGGAATGGGTGAAGGATCGGAACGGTCTGGTATTCGTGATAAGGAGAAAAATTTCTAGCGCGACACAACGCTCCGCTCGACAAACCATTTGTCACGGTTTAACGTCTCCACGAGCCAGCAGCCTCTTATCGCGCGACGCGACGACCATTTTATTACTTTTGCTGCGAACACGGGATGGCGCCACGAATCGTTCCAATTGTTCAAAGAAAATCGGTCGAGGAGTACCGAGGACGCGATTTTTCACGGAGAAAAGACAAACGCGGATTAAATAACCAGCCCTTCTCACATTCACTCTGTTATTGATACGACGTGAAAAAATTATATCGAAGATGTTAAGATGTTGTCGCCGTGAATGAATATTAAATATCATTTTTCGATGATTTAAATATCCGGGACGATATTTCGTTAACGCAACCGCGTGAATGGAAAATTTAAATCGATATTTTTACCATCGATAAAAATTATTGACGTTTAATTTATTCTCTCTTAGGCTACGATTATTTTGTTTGTTGTTAAATTTTGATTTGTTTTTGTAACATGTTTCGATCTGAAATATATATTCATGCGCAAATCACGTTCCGATGTTTTAATCCCGAAAAGTTATCGGCGAAGGTTATCGAGAAAATGAAAACAAGTCCAAGTTTATAATAAATAGGGAATCGAGACTCGTTGGCGTGAAGATCGTTGCTGTTGATCGCCGTTCTTTTCTATCTTTCCTCCGTGATAAAAACGTTGACGATCGAAGATAGAGGATTAAAATTACGCGTGATTCGATTCGTGTGTCCCCAAAACGATGAGCTACTGGAATACAGTGTTCGTGGTGCTTTTGATCCATCTGATTTTCGTCAGCGGTTGGCCCTTGTCCAATGTCACTCAAACTCCAATGAACTCGGACAATCGGACGAGTGGTGCATTAAATAAAAGAAATCTTTCTGTGATTTCCAATTTTGAAAAGTGCAAACAAGGAGAACAATTGGATCATCTTAACAAATGTAAAGAAATCATAAAAATGAATTCAAACGAAAAGTTTATTCGATAATAGTAACGTAAATAATACAAAGAATATCGCGCGATAACAGTTTTTATTGTCATCGATACTCAACGTACCGATAAGATACATCATTTTCCACACCAGTGTGCGATCAAAAATCCATCATCGAGGATCGAGTTAAAACAATCTTTTCATCGATTCTTGAAAATAAGTACCGCGAATGACGAAGCTACCAGTAGCAAAACGATGAAACGATGATATCATCGGGTCGATGAAGAATTATGAAAAAATTCTCGGTCAGTGTCGATTCCTCGCGATACTTTGCGATTAATCATTTTGCATCATCATTTTACAAGAGTTTTCGATAACGTTGCGCGCGTCAAAGATCGATCGGATCGCAATTGGAAGCTCTTAGTAGCTTCTCACCGTGTGAAATAAACTTGACAAAGAGGCTCGTTCGTAGAGTGATAAATTTTACATAGTCTTGATCATGAAATTGTGGTGGATCGTATTGATGACAGTATTGTTTCTGTCCTTTTGCACGAACCGAGTCGTTACTTTGCCGTCAAGAACCGTCGCAGAGAACGTTTCGATGAACGTTTCAACGGACGTTTCAAAATCGTCGAACGAAATATTCGAGAAGAAATTCGTGTCGTTCGATGCAAAAAGCAACAACACAAAGCACCTTCAGAAAGGGGCCTTCATCAATGTGCCGGTCAATTGTCCATGGGACAAAGTGAAGGTCGGGAATCGCTGCAGGGCTTTCTTTTAAGTAAGTTGAAATTTTATCTCATCTTAAATAAACGCGTCTGAAAAAGAAAACGGAAAGAGAAATCATCCACGGTTAGGTAATTGTATCAGAGGATCAATGCAACGTTTGATATTCGTTCCTTTTTTTGTAATTCTTTTGTAATTGTAACGGAGAGAGAAAAAAAAAAAAAATAGAAATAAAAATCAGAGGACCGATAAAATTGTCGTGACAAACGATTAAAAAACAGACGAGTACGATTATTCTTTGGAAAATGGATGGAAATCGTTCAATGAATTAACGTTCAATGAATTAAGGCAATGATAAATGATATCGTAATTTTTTAATTTCTGTTTATTACAGATGCGTCGTTCGTAATAATAATAATCATAGCCGCCATTCAATGTCGCAAGTTATAATAAATTTTACGCAAGCTGACGATAGATCATCGTTTAACTATTACCCTTCTGTTTCCACAGGATTCTTCTTCTTTCTTCAGCGTGAAGTCGATAAAGAACAAGAATGCGAGCGTTATCTAACGAGTAATGTAGAAATACAAATGACTCGAAATAATTCTGAATGAAACGAAGAGATAAAGTATCGCAAAGAAATGTTAACACGGTGTCGGATAAAGATAAATTTTGGTTTTGAAAAATGAGATTATTAACACAGACGAGATATAGAATACATTTAAAATTTGATATATTTTTTTTATTCTCTAAATATTTACATTTTTTTAATCAAAGATTAAGACATAATTTCGAAAGAAAAATTATGAAAGTATATACTGTGTACCTTGTCTCTGATCACGCGGCAAGAGCGAGTCTAGAGAAGGAGAGCAAACAATGGGAGGAGGACAGAGATAGGATAAAAATATGAGAATCAGCGCCATCTCTAGAGTGTCGCAAATGAAACATAAATAAAGATAGTAAATAGTAGAAGAAGGATAGAGATAGAGTAAGAATTGAGAACTAGCGCCATCTTTCGAATATTTTCGGATAGATAGATCTTTAGCATCCAACAGATGGCGCTATTATTCGATTCTGCAATATCCTATCTTAAGTTAATGTTTTTGGCATTCGAGAGATGGCATTCATGGTCAATTTTTGTTCTATCTCTATCCTCTTCCTACTATTTTCTGTCCTTTCTTTCCATGTTTCATTTGCGATACTCTGAAGATGGCGCTGATTCCACCATTTTCATCCTATCTCTATCTTTCTTCTATTATCTGCTTTCTTTGTTTATATTTGCTCTACAAAATATCTAACAATTGTAAGTTGGCAAAAAAAAAAGCAAAAAAAAAATAAAGATAAGAATATTTCCAACTTGAATATAACTTTAATGATAAAATATTTTCACTTTTTGGCTTAACCAATAAATGAGTTGCATTAGATAAATGAATTGCCATTTTCTATTATTAAAAATTTATACTTTTATAAATCTTCAATCATTATAAAAATTACAAATATATTAATTACGAATTTTATAATTTTAAATGTATATAATTATTATTATAATTTTCTCTAAAGAATTTATAACAAAATATTTACCAATAAATTATAACCTAACATATAAAACTTGTCATGATATGTTTTTATTTGACGATTCCATTTGCTAATCAAATTATTAAAGGCAAATAAATACATTAATGAATATATTAACGCAACGCAGATATATTACCTGCAAAAAATGTTCATTACACGCTAATGATTTACGATATCTCGAAAATATCACATACATAATTATCAAATACAAACCGCATTATGAGTGATCAGGATATGAATTGTAACCGCAAATTAGTGCGAATAAAAATGCGTAAAAAAAGGAAGGGGGAATCACGGTAAAAGTAATATATTGCGGGCATTTCTCATTGTCCTCTACATCAGTCTTCAATTGTTGCCTTCACGATAACTTGGTGTAAAACGATAAAATTTAACGAGCAATAATCTATCAAAATCGTTCGTAATTTATGTGTGACGCGATGGCGCCGTTACGTTTCATTTTATTCGTCTTGTTTTTCTGCATTTTCGTCACCATGCACGAATCCAGACCTCTGACATTTCCACAAAGAAAGAATACAAGCGTGAAGAAATGTCCACCAGGATACAAATACATTCGCAACGTGGGCTGCAGAAAACTCATATTCAATTAAACGTAAAACGGTAAAATACTTTTTAAAGAAAAAAAAAAAACTTTCTTCGATGTCGTTTCCAATTTTTCGTATTTATTTTCATTCTGTTGCAGTAAAAAGAAATCCGGATAATGAGAAACTTTTGCAAAATTCTGAAATAATTAAATCACGAGAAACTAATCAAAAGAACATTCTATTCTTTATATTGTATATTCAAATATTGTAAGATGTGAATCTAATTTGCATTTATAATTTAACAAACAATGAAATAAATCACAATTTATCGATAAAAAGTTTATGCCTGCTTTTTTCTTTTTTTTTTGTCTTTTAACAATCGTTGCTCGTTAATTCTAACGTACGAAATAATGCTATGCGATCACATTTACGTTCAAACTGCCCGCGAATTCGAGAGGCGCGCGAGTATCGATGTATCGCGATTCATCTTGCATCGGATGCAGAAAATGGCTGCTCCTTTGGTTTCGGTTCTCGATAGGAAAAACAAATTTTCCTTCACCAAAGAATTGATTACACGTTGCACGTTAAAATTGAAAGAATCTAATCATGATTTTAAATGAAAAAAATGAAAATTTATTAAAATTCGATTGCAAGAATATAGATAACCTATTTTTCATCCTGAACACGCGATTCAACGAAATACAAAAAAATACAAGAATTTTCGTTATCCTAAATCAAAAAAAATATAAAAAAGAGTTGCATTTCGACAGAGAGAGAGAGAGAGAGAGCAAAAAATAAAGATGAAGTTTGAATTTGACAAAAAAAAGATTCGATGAAAAAGTTTATCCATCTTACCACACCACGTTGCGGCACGTTGTTATCCTCGTCAAACGAGTTTAACGTGACACCTTGAAGGATTGTTACGTTATGGAGGGCAATTCGTGACATAGTTCGATCTAGCATGCAAATTTATACACCCACGCTTCCTCCAGTCAACCCCGATAATCACGAAAATTTGAGCTAGTAACCCGCATACCGACGAACGGATTCACCGTATCAGAGTCGTAACCCACAACATACCGTTGCACAATAAAGTCTCTTATCATCGATCATAACGATACTATGCGACGGGCGAATATGAAGAAAAAAAAATATAAAAAAAAAAATATCATTTTTTCCGCCACGCGGAGAGATAATGCAACATTTATTGACACTTATCATCGAGCGATAAAGATCGGTGGTCACAAAATGAAAATGACACTATTATCGGTATATATTGCAATCGAGCCGTACGTACGATTCATGATCAGTGTACGTGTACCGGTGCGCTTGCGCGCGTTCGTATGTATGCGGCCAGAAATACGCGCCGAGACGTATTCGCTTCGGCAGTTGATCGCGGCGCGAGCACAGTCGAACCTGCTCAGGTGCGACTTTCCTTCCGTTTTCCTCGTGCATCGAGTGCGACGCGCAAACGTCGGATCGGCAAACACGTGCGATTACCGTTTACCTCGCCACAATTCCCCAAATTTACCGCTACAACTGGACCTACTTGGCGTTCTTTTGGCCACGTGTTACGTTCCAAGTGGCAGCAAAGGTGTAATATTTTATGACCGGAGGATAGAACTCGACTCGATTCCGATCCCCCTTTCCTTTCTTTCGCGTTTTGACGGTGGAGCATTGACGGACGCCAGACATGCCGTACTCGATCTACAAATGTAGAAGAACGTTTCTCCACGCGATATGTTCGTTCTCGATTTGTGGACTGGTGATGGCTCAACTGGATACCAGATACCCGGACCAAAGGATAGTGTTCCCCGATCGGGGCGATCCGAGGGCGAGACAAACGGCGAATCCTACGGTGGAGGATGGGCCGAGTGCAGGAGGCGAATCGTTGGTAAATCGATCGCATTTTTTTCATCCGAACGCGTATTGCACGTACTACTTTGGCGTGCGCTACGGTTCTAGAAGAGTCTGGTTCACGGAGCCGCGTTGCAACACTCCCACGTTTTCACTCTGATAAATAGCGCAATTATGTTATCCCGCGTAGCATCGTTAAAGAGAGCGTACGTGACGGACGCGACAGCGGTAAAAATTTGAAGAAAAAAATTGATCCGATTGAGTCTCGTGTGCAAAGAGAGAAAAGGAAAAAGATATCTTCGTAACTTTGGCATAATATATATTTGTATTTTTCATTTTTATTTTTATCTTTATTTTTTTTTTTTCAATTTTTTTACAACATTATTCAACAATACATTTATTTCGCCGTTTCACCTATCGCTCGTTCCATGTAAAATTTAAAATTCCGCCAACAGGCGATAACAGTTTCCATGAATTTGTCTATAAATAAAAAAAAAAAATTGCGGCGAATTACGCGTTTGTCTGCGGTAAATTATGCGGAAATCCTTCTCGATTTTGTTCTCACCGTAATAGCGTGGTCCCTTTTTTTTCTATTATCATCATCGGTGTTAACGTAAGCGATAAACGGAAACGTGGCGGCAATTCCTTTTGTCGACGATAAATGACGATTGATGTTACGAAATCCTGTGCGAGAACGGGAGTATCGAGACCGTTTTTCTCCCGCAAAAGATACACGAAGGTCGTATATACCACTAATGTCAAGGATGTATAGAAACGGTATAGAGGCGGAGAGATCGAGACAGAAAAGTGAAAACCTTGCGGTGCACGACACACTTAGGATTCTTGTCGCAATTCCCGTGATTCGTTATGTAGATAATTGATTACCAACAACCAACAATCGTCCGTGCGAATGCCTACTCGATTACTTCGCGAATTCTTTTTTTTTTTTGTAATTTTATCAAAACGATTTATCAATTGGTGTTTATATAGATACGTTATAGAAGAAGATATATGGACGATAGATACTTATTTATTTATTTATTTTATTCTATCTGATTCGTGACGAGAAGTAGAAAAGAGAAATTCAGGTTAATTAGATTAGGAAACGACTAGCGCGCGGCGTTATCGTTATTGCAAAGTGAGAACCATCCTTTCGGTGATCGAGGATGGATAAACATTATTTCGCGAAGATAATATTTGTTTGGTCACGAAGCGATCATTGTGTGCGCGCATATTTCATTGTCACAATAGGGTTATACGATCGAGCGCGAAACGAAGCCAGGTGTGTAACAGACGACCTTACAATGCCGGCGATTAAATTCTTGCGAAGCGTCGAGAGGACGTTCTTGGAAAGTACAATGTCTCGGGACATCGCGTTTCTCATTTATGCAAATTGTGCAACGTGCGTAATACGTTTATTAAAATGCTCCCGCCGTACCGTTATCGATTCACTCCGCGCTCGTGTTCACAAATATTTCAGCTGGTAAGGATGGTAAAGAACTCGTCGATACGGATAAATATCGGTCGAAATTATCATCGACGAGATCTGGCCACGTCATCACGCCGTTGAAACGGAAAACGTTCGAAAGGGAAAATGTTAAATGGCGCCTATCGAGAACAGCTCACGTTAACACCGAGGATGCTTCCTAGAAATCGGTTCACCGTTTGTTGATTTTTTTCAGCGTGCACGCGATACCAGCTTGTTTAAAACCTGTTCCAGGTGGAATGGTGAACGTGTGAGAGGTCGAAGAACGCATCGAGTTATACGTTATACACTTTCGTGTCGAAACGTTTCGTGCGATTCGGTTTTAAAAATATTTTTTAACAATATTTTAATATTCGTGAAAGTATCGACTTCTTCGATGACTTAAGATCCTGCGATTATTTCTTCATTCACGAGAGCGTTCGCAATCGATGATTCATTGATAAGATATTATCGGAAATACCCCGATAATTACATCTAAAATTATTCTATTCAATTTTTTTTTTCAAATTATCATGTTTCCTTACTAATTAATTCGATTGATAAAATAATTAATAACGTAACACTGAAATAAAAAGATCTATTTTCTTCTAGAATAATACGTTATTTGAATGATTAGTTTTTCTTTCATTTCGCATCCCTTGATATTGCGTTGGAAATTCCAAGTAAAATGAAAAAATGAACAAGAACTGGTTAATATGTTCTTTCAAGAGTTGTTTCCGTTTAACAATCACGTAGGTATACAATAACAATACCTGCAGAAATGATAATTTTTCTTTTTCTTTTTTTTTTTTATTATGGAAACATTCCCATTTTTTTATTATCGATTTCATTTTCGGCTTTATTATCAATCGAACTGTTGATTAATTTTACGACACAGAGGAAAATCAAAAAAAATTTTCCATCCGATTCGTCCTGAGTTTCTTTTATCCGAAATTCGTGTTATTTTCAGAAATCGCTACAATTAGGCAAGAAAATCAGTTCCATCAATTCGATCGACGATTTCCTTAGATTAGTCAAAGGTGTGCCACAGGATATATCTTTCTTCTCTGTAAGCAGTAAGTATGATCTTAAATAACTTATTAACAGGAATTATGGATCTATAGAAAGGAATAGTACGTAAGAAAAACCGGTTGTCTCGTGACATTGCGAAAAACAAACATATTGTTACACGACCTTGTAAATTGCACTTTATTCGGATTAAAAGAAAATTACAAAATTGTGCTTAAAAAACAAAAAAGAAACGCCGTAATTCGAAGCATACAATAAGTACAGTTGACTTCGTAAATTTTTGAATGTTTGAAGAACAAATTATTACGAGTATTAAATCAATTGTAATAGATGCAAATATTGTTCGGTTGGATAAACATCTTAAAGTTTATAATATCTTCTACCAATTTTATTGTTCAAACTTAATTATCAGTGAACGTGAGATCATCATTCAATTGATCGCAGTATAAAAAATATACTTAACATAAGTATTTCATAAATTTAAAATCCGCGAGTAACGTTATAGAGACTCGTTATTGCAAAAGTTTAACTCGAAAAAATTTTTTAAATAAAAAAGAAATTAAAAAAAAAAACATGATTTTCGCATGAATTTTCTGGAAAAATATCAAATGATATAATAATTTTCTTACGCTTGGAATTTCTCTTTAAACGCCACATCCCTATTATTACTTTTTCAAAAATTTTATTTTTTTAAATTCTTGCAAAACTCATTCTCGCTATCCTCGTATATTATCAAATGAATCTGATAATTATAAAGAAACATTTTCTTTTTCTTATCATTACTATCGTTACTATCGTTACTATCGTTACTATCGTTACTATCGTTACTATCGTTTGCGTTGACCCCTGGTTTGTTAAAGACCAGTTTTTTTTCCACGTAATAAGGATTGAATAACTTACAGGGTTCTTTTTCCAAATTTTTTATGAAATCTTTGAGATCTTCGAAAAAATCGGTGTTCTTCAAAAAGCCACCAAAGTTGTTCTTATTCGGCACTAATCTATCGCTAATTTGATTGATTTCCTCCAAAGTGGGCAATCTGATCGTAGAGTGTCCAAATCGTACTCTATCTTTTTCTATATTTTTTTTATTCGATGATAATTTCAGGGTTGGATGTTCAGTGCTGTACGCAATTTGTAACTTACACGGTCGTTTCCAAGTGTGCACATTAGACATAGGCACGGAATAGGCATTGCAAATATCTATGGTACGATTAAACAAAATATCTGTTATGTTCATTGTGCTGTTCAATCTAGTTACTCCTAATGAAAAATTAAAATTCGAATCATACAAAAGATTCCGAAGATTTAAAAGGGAATTGAAAGAATGTTTCTCTTGCCTCGTTTCCAGTATCTCCGCGAGAATTCCATTTCGCCATAAGCCTCTATGTATTTAGGTGTGCTCAATCCAACGATGACGTTTTCATCTCCTGGACCATTCTCTCTCTTGATAGCTTTGATGGTTGGTGCCATTTCCTCTTCCAATTTTATCCTATTAATGCTCTCCTCGATCTCTTCTGTGCTGGACGTCGAGATCTCAAGCTTAAAAAGATTGAAAAGATCACCCTCGCTCAAATCGTAAGACGAGTCATTCATTGCGCTGATTTCCTTCGCATCGATTTCATTTTGATTAACATTGGTTTCGACGTCACAATTCGATGACGTTTCCATTTCTCGATGGAACGACTCGTCCTTCGCCTCGTTATTATCATCGACGAAATCTTTTTTTACAAATTCTTGATTTTGACGGCAATACGATCGAAACTTGAAAAGTCTACGTGAAAAATCTAACGTTAACATTCTTTTTCCTCGTTCCACGAAATTTTTCTATAATTTTATTTTATATTGTATCTTACCGTTTCAATTTTTTCTTTTTGTAACTGATGTTAGTTGTCGGTACGATGTAGGAGTATATATGTCTTGAATCGTGAGATTCCATAAAGGCAGACACGTTTTTTCTACCTTCGACTATCCATCCAAACCAATCGAGGATCACATCTTCCGAAAGATAATTGTGTATACCGTCAGCGAGACCATCGGCCAAAGCGAAGTAACTATTCGCAACTGAAATTGCTTGTACAAAATTTTCCATTGTTCTCAATTATCTGAAAAAGTAGGATAAACTTATGGCAGAATGTTTCCAAGAAATACTACTTTTTTTTCTTACATCAAACCACAAAAACCACATTGAACTAGACATAATGGAATTCGAGGAAAAAAAAGGGAAATCCTCTGACTACTTCAAGTTGTCACTGAACGGAATCTTCTTCCAGGTAGAATGGGAGAAACTGAACGTTCGAATGCCGAGCGACCAAATCAAGCTTTATGTATGCCTGAATTACAAACAGTTCCTCTATTAGAAAATGACGATCCATCTATTGTTTATTATCCAACTTGCACACGGATCAAAAGATGCGGAGGCTGTTGTAATCACTCGTTTCTTTCTTGTCAGCCAACGGCTACGGAAACTCGAAATTTCGAGGTAAGTCACATCTGATTGAATGTTATATATATATATATATATATATATATATATA